CACATGGCTTTTACGTTTAGTATTGCAAGGTTACTGTAAACCAAACCTTGACCAGTAGTGCATTAAATACTTTTGGTTATGTAATAGATTGTTAACTGTCCGTCGACCATATGTCTGATTATCCGTATTTATGTTAAATATTTTTGAAATCCTATCATCAAGAGATTTCCCTGACTGCATTCGAATTCGGCATACAAACACACTATAAAAAGACTTACTGAACTGTTTAGACGTTTTCATGCAGTAAACATTACTGAGCTACCGTGACGTTGTCATGATTTTTAAAAATATATGTTTTTCTTAAAATATGCATTACTCCTGCTACATTTTGGCCCATTTTGATAAAACGTGTATGCGTCAGGCACATTCATATTCTATTTATGCGTTAGGCACATACATATTCTTTTTATGCATTAGGCGCATACATATTCTATTTATGATCCATAAGGGATAGAAAAGAATATTCAAGTGCTCAAACTTAATGACCTTTTTAAACGTTTTTTAAAAAGACGGAATAAAGAAAATGTGACGATTATTGATCAAGCTCGAAAGCAGAACAAACACGAAACCTGATGAGGAATAAGTTACCTAAAAGGAATGAGCTTCCCCCGTCAAACGGTCACACCCGCCATGAGCCCTTTGTCTTGATCAGACAAAAGGAGTGATCCGTAAACAAATCGATGTATAAAAACAATGATTGAATGAGAGACTAAGTACAATGTCTTAGAATGTAAAACTTCTATTTATTGCTTTAATTTTTTTAAAAGGTCATTTTTCTCTTGCATAAAAAAAATGAAATGAGAAAAAAATAAGCTCAAGTTTTGATTCAAGTAATAAAAAATAACATATTATCAGCTCTACTTTCATTTTTCATTCCTCGTGTAACTAAATAGTCAGTCTCAAAAGGTTTGTTGTGAAAGCACACCTCGGGGGGTAAATGTATAATGGATTTTTTTTTAAAATTTATTCTGAAAATATTATTCTAAGATCATGAAAATTTGACTTAAATAAGCCACCATAGTTCAATAATTAATATTACTTCCTGTAAAATGTTTATACCCATTCTACAGATACAAATGTATTACAACATTCAGGTGGAAATTTGTTTGTTTCTGAGCATTGTTACAATTTTTGGATATGGTGAGTATGTACAAAATTTATAAGAACTATATTTATTCATCTCATTGTGTGTTTTGAATTGTGTGTGTTCTAATCAGATAAATGTTTATGTATTTGTTACCTTTTTAGAGTGCTTATTGTCAGTTTAGTTTTTAGCGAGCATGTAAAATCAAATGGTTGGTGTCAAAATTTATTTTGTTATAGCAGAGAAATTTGGTATGCCTACCAATTGTATTGTTCCACTACATGTATTTGATTAAAGATCTAGGAAATAGCAATAATTTATTTTTTACGGTTAAGTCCAGGCGATTCCAGGGAAATATTTTAAAGAAATATATTGATTTAAGTCCCCTTTAACATCCTTCTCCAGGTTATCCACGCTTTATATAATATTGATTTGATTATAACTTTATTGCAAATTATTTTTAAAGGATACACAAATTTGTATGAGTTTCTCTTTAATTATGGAAAGTGATACACTTTCTAATAAGCATTTTTCACTTTCAAACTAAGATGTTGTTTAGGTTTATATATTTTTTTTATATCAACTTTTCGACTTCTACTTCTAAAACTGTGCATAGAAGAAATCATTGATCACAATATCATTTGATAGCAGGTATGCTTATATTTCAATGATATCATATCAAATGTTTAAAGAATGTTTTCTGCAGAAAATTAAAAATATGAAAAAACATGAAAAGATATTTCATATAACATTTTTTTTTATTATTATTCAATCTCCTACTTAACAATAGACTGTAAACAGTTTGGTTTTGTATCAGGATCTTAACTACTTATGAATGCACCACATATATCAAATGTACGGGTAGAGGCTACAATTTTACTTTATGATAACTGGAATTACGCAGCAAAATGTGTTTTACGTGAAATTCCTTTTAATTCCACTTATGTCTTTTCTTAATATGAATTACACGTTGAAGAATGTTACAGTTTCTCTCTTCTTTTTTTTAGAAAAAGTCACATAAAAATTCATATGCATATTTTCTATGTATTTATAATTGTCAACGACAATCATTTTTATCCATTTAGTCCATTAAACCAAATTTAATTGCACAATTCTATCAAGTCAGAATGTGTTTCTATTGAATATTAATTTTTATGAAATTTTTCTATTTAGAGGATTTATCAGCAAATAAGAGTGTCATTCAAAGTACAACAGCTATCTGTTATCCTCCCTGTAATGCGACTTCTGCAGTGGATGGAAACATAAAAACATGTATGAAGACTTTGGAAATCGGTACAACTTCTACAAACAAGTCTGTCTGGTGGTATGTAGACCTTGGGGACATAAACAGCATATACAGTATCAGGATACAGTTCAAAGATTATGGTACATATATCTTTGGACATATTTGAATTATTGCTTTTTTTACAGCAAACCGAACGATAGATATCTTTACATTTTATTTTCTTTTAACTGAGACTCTAGACAGAGAAATACAAACAAATAAAACCATTTGTGTGCCTTTTAGAAAATCAAATAATTATTTGTTAATACAGTGAGGTATCTTGTTGGACGTGAAACTTCAATATGACATTCATTTCACAGAACTGCACACAAAATATCTAAAATCTCATAAGTTATATTTGTCATTTGGATATTATTTGACAGATTTTCTTTTCAAGCAGTTTTTCACGTCTGCAGATTGTGCATAAATCACTAGTAAGTCTATGCCAATTTGTACTGAATTTTGCGACATTTTTTTTTTTTTACCAAGTTTACAAAGAAGAATCTCTATAATCAGATACTAGTAATTGGGCCCGCCAGGGAAAAAAATATTTTAAAGCTATAACAACTACGGTCTCTCCTCAGTACTATAAAAATGCTTCTGTTGCATTTCATATTTAGTAAGGATGCTGAAAGAGTTTAACCAACTAATGGTCAAATTAAGGATCAATCAATCATTCAGTGCTAGTCTATTATTGTGTACATTTGCAACTTCGTTGATCCAAAAGAATGTGGAATTTCTTTATATTTTATTTATTTTTTAATGGAAGTGATCGAAAATTACGGGTGAAAATATATATGCTTGTTGAATTTTCTTAATAAAAAAATAGTTTTAAAATTTATGATAGTAACACTTTGGCAGTTGTCATATTAATGGAGGTTTGAAAATGCGGAAGAGACATTTATTTGTTCATTATCATTTCGATTCTTGATACTCACTGTGGAAAACAAAATGTGCTGTTAAGCAAATTTACTCCTGATCTTTCAAACTCCCGATCTCTCGAAGTTCTCTATCTCTTTCACCAAACCTGGGATCCGTTACATATATTTCATTGTTTTTTAGATCTATCTCTCAAAGTTTTGATTGCGCATGTATACACGTCAATTAATCGTAAAATTAATTCAGCTTGGACATAACTGGATAACAGTGAACGCCTGGGGCTGGGATGGACGTGTTAATTGGGTGTTTACATAGATGATACTACACCTGTGAGACGTCCGAGTGTTGATATAATTAATTGGTTAATTGGTAAATTATAAACAAATCGCTTCACAACTTATGAGAAAAAATAAATATTGAAACTTAAATTAATCATTTTATTTATTCAAAACACGATCATTGTTGAATTACCTGTTAAATACAAATGAAAACGTGTAATGACAATATCAGCATGTACTTATGGTATGTATAATAGTAGAACAATGATGATGATCGGAACTGAAAATTCCGGATGATGATGAAAGATCTAGCAGCCTATTGGAAGGTCCTTCTTCTCGTAGACAAATTGAGAGCGTTTATGGACATGGATCGCCGATGCACTGTGCTTGACATTGCTACTGAAATCGGAACATTATATGGAACGACATAGCGTATTTTGATAAATAATCGTAATAAGAAGAAAGTGGGTGCGAGATAGGTACCGCGGCTTTCCTCGAAGGCAGAAATGGAGAAAAGAATGCAGTTTTCCGTAAATTCTAAGTCGATTTGAACGTGAAGGTGAAATGCTCATAGAACGTGACGTGACATACCTAACTTGACGTTACGTCAAACTATCCCCCGGATTTTACAACTGTCCATGTTAAGAAAGCTCGTGTGATCTTAATGGTAGTTGGAATTGGTGAAACTTTTCAGTATTGTTGCATAATAACTTTATTTTATGGATATGTCTTTTGTTTGCTTCAATCATGTCACAATTAAATTTTAGAAAGAAACTCCACAAACTTTTGGATCAACCCCTGTATTCCTCAATCTAATTCTTATTCAGATTTTAAAATATCCTGTAAACCGTTTTATAATCCTAGATACAAATAATATGAGACAAAGAGGTCGTTTTGCCGGGTTCTCTCTTTATGTGTCCAACTCAACTCAAAAAGAAAACGGACATCGATGTTACCAGGACGGACCAGATTTACCTCCCTTGGATTTCAGTACTACATGTGTAACACATGGACGTTTTGTAATATTTTACAACGAAAGACTGGATGATATAACATACCCTACAGGATACCAAACTTCAAGCGTTGTCACTGAACTGTGTGAAGTAACGGTTACAGGTAAGTAAGCAAAATAGATGAGATGTGACTTTAAATATACATGTACATTGAATTCCTTATCACTTTAATTAATAACAGGTAGATGAGGATATTTTTAATAACAGGTTGTAAGTATCCGGGTATTTATGGATATGACTGTGATCTCCCATGTCCAGAAAACTGTCAAGAACGTAGATGCTACATTGTAAATGGCACCTGTCTGGGATGTAGAGCTGGATGGATTGGTGAATTCTGTAATAATTGTAAGATTTGTGGTGTTTTATTAAAATTGTGTATAATTTAATTTGCATGTTTCGTTTTTCAAAGCAATCATTCATTATTAAAATAGTTATTTAACATATGCTTTTTATTTATCTAGCCTGCCCTGCTGGAAATTACGGTCTAGAGTGCAAAAAAATGTGTGCTGGATACTGTAGACACAACAAGCCTTGTAATCATAGTACTGGAGTATGTGATGAAGGCTGTGCTGACGGATGGAAAGAGAGTAGCTGCAGCACGGGTAATTATTTTATTCTTTCAAAACAAGAATACTTCTTATCGAGCATCTTTTACAAACCATTTTTTTTCTACCTAAAAGAATCGTAAATGAAACGTTTATTTACAATTTTAATTTGCTTTCTTTTACAATTCTTAATTTTTTTTTTTTAAAGTACTTGTTTCATTATATGTCCCAAAGGAAACATGGACAGGTACTAGTGTTTGATTTTATTCTCAATTTCTGTAACAAGTTGATTAAAATAACATTTGTGGATTACACAATGCAGACATGCTTTTGGATGAAGCTAAAGAGAACTAGAATGACAATGAACAGTATCAATATACACATTTCCAGATGACGGAGACACAAGACTGTTTGCTTTAAAATCCAAGACAAAAGTATTGAATAAGTCTAAGATTGGTTTGTTTGTTTTTATACAGAATGCCCAGCAGAAACGTATGGTCCTGATTGTATGTACAACTGTAGTGGACATTGTGTAAATGGCGTCCCTTGTAACAGAACAACAGGAAGTTGTAACTCTGGCTGTAAGCCTGGATATACCGGGGAGCGCTGTGATAAAGGTTTGATGTCTGATGAACAATTGTATTGTAGCTTAATTTATTGATTTGTTCCTTTGACTTAAACAACTATCATCAACTGTACATAATACACAGTAGGTATTATAGATTTAGTTTAAAAAAACAGTACTTATTATCCAGTTTGAAAATATGTAGTGTTCATATTTTTCTTTGACGTTTAATTTAGCTGTACTGGCTGGAGACCAGGAAATCTTATGCGATGATAAGGTGTCCTTTGTCTGTTCGTCTGTCTTTCTGTCTGTCTGTGTCGTTTGTAAGGAAAAAGGTTTCGATAACGAACAGTGATCGATTTTATAAATCCCGTAAACAATATGAATCATGAACAGGGCAGGACAAATAATGGGACCCCTGGGAACATGAGGTGGGATCAGGTGCCTAAGATGAGTAAGCATCCCCTGATTATATCTGCAGTGAGCCCTTTCAATTGATCAAGTATAAAGAGTTATCAGTAATCAAAATTGATATTAAAAAATGGCTAACAATTGGTAGGAAACATTTTTGTCAAAATACGACCCAGGTAAAGTTTGGATGTGCAAACAAGATCATTATTATACCGACAATAGAATATGCGGAATGCTGACTTAACTTTTTTCATTCAAAATGATCGTACTCGGCACATTTCTTGCGTACAGAATAAGTTGGGAGACATAAACACCAACTGCATGTATTTAGTAGAATATATCTACATAAATAGGAAAAGTTGAAGATAGAAAAGCTAAAATCACGATGTCATAAAATTTAGTAGTTGACCATTAACATCTATTGTTAGCAGTTAAATGTCTTGGTACGAAAGAAATGTGGTTTTTCTGTGGTTTCTTTAATTTCGAGCTTACTGGGATATACCGAGTCGATAGATGAGTGAAGAGAACTTTTTAATTACATGATTATACGTCTGCAACAATTTTTGAAAACGATACTCCTCCTACAATGTAATCAATGTACAATTCTGATTTATTTCTATAACGATATTATTTATTATCAAGTTTTGCCATAGTTGCTAAAATTCCTGTAAAAAATTCTTTTAACGCTACTCTTTCTACACTTGGGTATGCGAAGACAGATTTATATGACTATTTATTTTTGGCAGAGGTAATATGGTTTGGTAAAAAAACTAAAAGTATACATTTCCAACATATTTATTTGAAGAATCTTTAAAAATAAGTATAATTCTCAAAAGAAATCATACAAATCAGTATATTTCTCAAAGGAAACCAAACAAATCATTATAAATACGAATTTTCTTCTCTTGTTTTTGTTAGTTGTTTTCCATGCAATGCCTACGTACTATTAATTGATGTTAACGTCAGTTTGTGCACATGCAGAATAAATAGATTTCCCAGAGAAATAAGTCATAATAACTTGTAAGGAACTGTTGTAAATTGACTATTTTAAACAGGTGCAACTAGTACTTATTTTGTGAGTATATTATTACAATATTACGAATGGAGATAAGAAATTCAAGTGTGTTTACCAAATTGCATCAGATGTATGTAATCTATGAATAATGATTGATTGATTGATTGATTATATGTTGTTTTACGTCCCATTCGAGAATTTTTCACTCATATAGAGACGTCACCATATACCTGGGAAGGGCTTCAAATTTTGACCTTTACTCGGCACTCACGGCAAATGAGCAGTGAGGGATCTTTGTCGTGCCAACGCCTGCCGTGACACTTGGCCTCGGTTTTTTTAAGGTCTCATCCGAAGGACCCGCAGCTTTCACTTCAAAGTGCCGAGCGCCTGGCGGAGGAACAGTTGCTACCTATTTTTTATCGACTTAGGTCAGTCGCAGCGGAGATTCGAACTCACGGCTTTCCGATCACGGAGCGATCTCTCTACCGTCTGAGCTACCGTGACGGCAATCTATGAATGAAAAGAGCTTGCTGTATATGTATCAATTCGGTCTTTCGGACAACAAAATGTAAATAGTTCATTCGATACGCAAGAGCATGCTCCATGTACGAACAATTTCTAAAACGATACAAGCTATTGAAAAACAAGTTGATGAAACAAAAATATCAACAGTCTCTTTTAAAGTCATCATTTCGCAAGGTCAATATGATGACCTTGTCAGCAATTACAATCTATCATTAAATCGAATGCTGACTGACATTTTTCATGCCAATTGTTAGGCAACTACTTTAATACACTGATTTTTCCGTTTGCCCGATCATGACAATGAGCACACGGCGGTGGACTTTTGAGCTTGATTTCTGTTCGTTATTACCATGTTTCACAACACTACGTCACATACTTGAAAAGTTTTTTTTTTTTCAAAATTCATAAGTATTTATCTTTTAGTAAATCGTTAATGTGGCTGCCCAGACACAGTTCAAACTGTTTCCATGAATTTAGAAAACACCAGGAATCTGGTAGTTCAACTTATTCAAAAACGTATGTTGTGAGCGAAATCAATAAAACGCTGTAACAAATACAAGAACAGATTTAGAAAAAGGAAATCACACATACAACAGAGATTAATATATTAGAAATACAGTATAGATGTATTTGTTATATTTTACAAAACAGTGAAATACTGCAAATTATTTATTGAATAAAAGTGATTTTTTGTCACAGTGTGAAAGAATATCAGAAGTGCGGCAAAATGTTTTCAAAAATGAAATACTCCCTGGTCTGTTATAAGGTAGAGAGAGTAAATAAACCATCCTGACAGGGACTAAAACTGACAAAGTTTCACTTACTGTCCTATTGAAGTCCATGTTTGCAATATTTCCAATATCCCTATCCCTAAACTGTGACTTCTCAATAGCTCAAGCTCAGCCTGTGACACTGTGTTACGAAAAGACAAAGGGAAAATCGAAGAAAAATTAATAAAAATAAAAACAATACTTTTTAGTTGAATGTGAAATTTATTTCACCCGTGAGATAAGACTTTTTTATATATATATATTTTCATTAGTGCTTAGCAGTCGTAAAAATATCATAAAACCTGTCCCACTCGTGAAATAAATTCCATATCCAACTATGAAGCATTGAATATCCTCTATATACAATTTGACACAAATGTGGATCAATGGTCAAATACCTGGTAAGTATCTATGAATTAGTTTGATTATTAGAAAAGAAACGGAAATTTAATGCAAAATGTTTGCGTTAAAAGAAAGACAAAAATAAATAGACAAAAATAATAATAATACTCATTATCATAGCAAATTAAATCAGATTAAGCACTACATCAAACACAAAAATCATATTAAAAAGCACTAATTGTAGTAATAATAGAAAAAAACACATAAAAACTCAAGCAGATATAGCATAATCAAAATAAAAAAAAATTGATTTAAGTTCCTAACCAACACACATCCTTCCTAGTGAAATCTGAGGGTCTTAATAAATCGTTCTAGTGCAAGGACATACACTCAATTGATCATAGTAGGTTTTTTACAGATATACTTAAGAAATATTAAGCTATTTATAAAGTGCTGCGATCCTGCTGAAATCTTGAAAATGAATAAATTATTTCCATATTTAATGCAGTTGACCTGCAAAAAAGTCAGCATACAGCCATACAAATATGATTTTGACAATTAAATAGTAGAATCTATATAGGATCGCAGCATGCACTTTTCACAAATTACAATGGGTGTTGAAAATAGTTATATACTGAACTTAGAATTTTAACTTGGTTATGCCCTTGCACGACTGAAATTTATTAGAAGTGACCTCAATACTGCAAGTATATGTGTTTATATCACGTGACTGCCACATCAGGTTACAAGTCTAAATAAAAATCTAATCGTTCTCAATATGTAGTTAATAACCATAACTGTATGTGTGCGATATTAGTAAAGTAGTAAAAGAACCACCATCTTTGAAGAAAGATGTAATTTTATCACCAAAAAACGTTGATTTTCCATTGGGCACCCTAACTGTACTGCGGAATTATATAATGACATTATAAATCAAACTCTCTCATACATTCAGACTTCCCCTCTATAATTTTAAAAAATAATGACATACCGAATAAAGTCGTTAGGAAATATTAACAAATAATTGATTGTACTTTTAAATAAAATTTACAATTTAGGAATGTCAATCCATGGTGACCACAATTTTAAGTCATTTTTAATTACTATTCATTTTTCTATATTGTAAATAAGAATTAAATGATGTAGCAGCCCAGTGATCATAGGTACTTTCTTCTGTTTCAACCAAGAGAAAAAGGTATTGCTTTGTATATAAAATATACAATTTAAACAATTCAAGTTTATGATAAGATAATGGAGTTTCACCAAAAATACTAGTGATACCTGTGTTACATATGTTTTGTCGTTTTTTGTATTGTTTCTGTCTCTTATTTACTAAACGTACAGTGGTTATTTTTATTAATCATTTAATATTTTCAAATAATGATTCACTGGTAATGGTAGGATTCTAAAGGCCTATTGTAACCAAGTCACAGGAGTATATGAATGTATTCTAAAATAGACCTTAAAACATCTTGAACATAAACATCAGACTCTAAAAGAATTGATAATTCCTAGTTCTATCTAAATATTGATGTAGGAACGACATGGTTACTATTCAGATATCCGTAAACAATTTGTGTTTATTTTCATGTTCAATTATATGTACAAAGTAAGAGGTAATAGAAGAGGTAGATTCCTTTTTGACAGGTGATTTATCTATATACATAGTATGCTCATTCATAAATAATACTGTTGTAATGCATATAATGAATTCATCAGACAAGGTGAGTCTTTGTTAAAAACCAACAAGAGTTGAAAATTTCCCAACATCGTTTAAGAAATATCCAATAATTTTTAACACCATTAATATACCACTCTTTTATAAAAAAACCCAACCTTTTCTGTATCCCATTCTTATATTGGAATTGTACCATACAGGTAAATTCATATACTTGGGTTTTCAAGTATTAGGTCATATATGTGTTTTCATGAAGTTAACTTATCTTTCCAAAAAACCATTGGATAGCATAACAAGGAATAATTTTTTCA